GTTTCTCGGCGAGCTCCTTCTCGCGAGCCTCCAATATCGCAGCGTGCTCGTCGTCTCGGGCGCGGAGCGCGGACACGAGCGCAGCACTGTGGTCGTGGTCCTTTTCCAGAGCCAACATCTCGGTCGCGGACGCGAGCGCGGCCGCGTGACCGTCCTGCATGGTGCCGACCTTGGCGTCGTGCTGCGACTGGAGTCCCGCGAGGGCCTCGGCGTGGGCCGCGTCCCGGGCCTGAAGCTCGCTCTTGGTCCGCTCGACGAAGCTCGCTTCCAAGTCCTGGAGGTCCTTGGCGTGGGCCGTTTCGCGTTCCCGGACGGCCTCGAGGCGCTCGCGGTCCTTATCGACGCCCAGAGCGCCCGTCGCGGATTCGAGGTCGGCTTCGTGCTTGCGCCGCAGCGTCGCCACGGCGTCCTCGTGCCGGGCGACCGTTTCTTCGTGAGCGCTCTCGTGCGCGCTCGACAGCGACGACTTCTGTTCGGCGAGCGCCGCCGCGTGCCTCTCGGCGAGCTCCTTCTCGCGCGAGTCCATCGCCGTGGCGTGTTCGTCGTCCCGGGACCGCAGCGCGGACACGAGCGCCGAACTGTGGTCGTGGTCCTTCTCGAGCGCGAGCATCTCCGTCGCCGACGCGAGCTCGGTCTCGTGCTTGGATCGAAGCATGTCCTGCTGCTGCCTGTGAGCCGCCAGAGCCTCGTCGATCTCCGCGGCCTGTCGGTCCGCTTGCTCCTTCAAGGCGGCCTTGTGCTTCGCGAGGATCTCGGCTTCGCGCGATTCGAGCTCCGCTTCGAAAGCGTCGGTCTGAGCCTTGAAGGCCGCCGAGTGCTCTTCGCTCTGCGCTTTGAGCGAGTCGCTATGTTCCTGATCCTTTTCCAGCACCTGCTTGTCCATCGCCGCCGCGTGCCTCGTCGCGGCGGACAAGAGGTGTCTTTCGAGATGGGCTTGCGTGAGCCACCGGGCCCAGGCGCGATGCCGTCGGTAGCGGAGGAGGTGGTTCGCGGCCTTGGCCATGGCGTTCATGCCGCCCGCACGCATCAACGCCTTGCGCGTCTGCGTGACCGCGGAGCGCAGCGCCGTGTCGTGGTCGGCGTCCTTGGACGCCGCGGCCCCCGACAGACGAGAGTACAGCGCCCAGACGCGGAAGCTCCGGAGGACGCCGTGCTTCGAGCCTCGAGTCAGGACGCTGTCCGCCATCGTCGACGCCGCGCGAAGCGCCATGAGGCGCCGGCTCTCGTCCGCCTCCCGCAGCTGGGACGCGGCCGAAGCGGAGAGGCTCGACTCCGCGTCCGCGAGGAGCCTGGCGTGCTCTTCGTCCTTCTCGCTCAGCGTCGCCTTGACCGCCGCGTCGTACTCGTGGGCGGCCTGGGAGAGCATCTCCTGGTGCCGCTCCTGCTCGGACGCCAGCGCGGCCCGGTGCGTCTCCGCGTCGTGCGCGCGGGCCTCTTCGGCCGCGGCCGCGAGCGACGACGCGGCGGCTTCGAGCTTGGACGCGTGCTCCAGGTTGATCGCGTCGATCGCGCGTTCGTGGTTCGCGTGAATATCTTCGACGGTGGTCCTCGTCGCGGACTCCATCGCGGCCCTTTGCTCATCGAGCTCGGACGCGTGAATTTCGGCTCGCGCGTCGAGCTCGGTCTCGTGGAGGGCCTTGAGCTCCGCCTCGCGCTCGGCGATGGCTCGAGCGAGCGCGGTGTCGTGCTCCTGGCTCTGCGCGGTGAGCGCGGACCGCATGTGGCGATCCTTCTCCGACGCCGCCGACTCGACGGCCGTGGCGAGTTCCCCTTCGTGATTCTCCTTGAGGTAACTGAGGTCGCTCTTGTGTCTCTCTTGCAAGTCGGACAGTGCCGCGGCGTGTTTCTCGGCGAGCTCCTTCTCGCGGGCCTCCATGGCGGTGGCGTGCTCGTCGTCGCGAGCGCGGAGCGCGGACACGAGCGCCGAGCTGTGATCGTGGTCCTTCTCGAGCGCGAGCATCTCCGTCGCCGATGCCAGCGAAGCCGCGTGGCCGTCCTGCATGGTGCCGACCTTCGTATCGTGCTGCACCTGCAACTCCGCGAGCGCCTCGGTGTGCGCGGCATCTCGAGCCTCGAGTTCGCTCTTAGTTTTCTTGACGAAGCTCGCTTCGAGGTCCTGGAGCTCCTTGGCGTGGGCCGCGTCACGTTCACGGACGGCCTCGAGGCGCTCGCGGTCCTTGTCGACCTCGAGGGTAGCCGTCGCGGACTGGAGCTCCGTCTCGTGCTTGCGCTGCAGCGTCGCCATCGCGTCCTCGTGTCGCGCGGCGGTTTCCGCGTGACTACTCTCGTGGGCGCCGGACAGCGACGCCTTTTGCTCGGCGAGCGCTGCGGCGTGCTTCTCGGCGAGCTCCTTCTCGCGACCCTCCATCGCTTTCGCGTGCTCGTCGTCGCGGGCTCGGAGCGCCGACACGAGCGCGCTGCTGTGATCGTGATCCTTCTCCAGAGCGAGCATCTCGGTGGCCGACGCGAGAGTGGCCGCGTGGCCTTCCTGCATCGACGCGACCTTGCTGTCGTGCTGCGACTGGAGCCCCGCAACTGCCTCGGCGTGGGCCGCGTCCCGGGCCGCGAGCTCGTTCTTGTGACGCTCCGCGAGGCTCGCTTCCAGGTCCTGGCGTTCCTTGGCGTGGGCGTCGTCGCGACTCCTCATGGCGTCGGTCAGCCGCGACGAGTGCTCGCGGTCCTTGTCGACCTCGAGTGTCGCCGTCGCCGACTGGAGGTCGGCCTCGTGCTTGCGCTGCTGGGCCGCGAGCTGCTCCTCGTGTCGCGCGACCGTCTCCTCGACGGTTGCCTCGTGCTTTTGCTTCTGGGCAGAAGTCTGCTCCTCATGCTTGCCATGCACGTCCGC